CAAAAATAAAATCATGGCAAAATGTGTAGAATTGCAGGAAAAATTTGCTTTAAAACTGCAAAGATTTCTATCCACCCTGTCTATTCTAGAAAGTGTTATCAATGTAGTGCAGTGGCAGTCTGTCAAATAATAAAGCAGTGGTGTAAAGTACTTAAGTAAAAATACTTTAAAGTACTACTTATGTAGTTTTTTGGGGTATCTGTACTTTACTTTACTATTTATATTTTTGACAATTTTTACTTTTACTTCTCTACATTCCTTAAGAAAATAATGTACTTTCTACACCATACATTTTCGCTGACAACCAAAAGTACTTGTTATATTTTGAATGCTTAGCAGGACAGAAAAATGGTCCAATTCATCCCGGAGTCACCTCTTCACTGTTGACGTTGAGACTGGTGTTTTGCGGGTACTATTTAATGAAGCTGCCAGTTGAGGACCTGTGAGGCGTCTGTTTCTCAAACTAGACACTAATGTATTTGTCCTCTTGCTCAGTTGTGCACCGGGGCCTCCCACTCCTCTTTCTATTCCGTTTAATCAGCTTCTTGAAATGCCACACCTGTCAGGTGGATGATTAAACAGCTCCAAGGCCCATCCATGGCTGCACCCCTGCCCAGGCATGTGAAATCCATAGATTAGGGCCTAATGAATGTATTTCAATTGACTGATTTTCTTATATGAACTGTAACTCACTAATATCTTTGAAATTGTTGCATGTTGCGTTTATATTTTTGATCAGCATATGTTCATCCTATGATAAAGCTGCCTTGTATCTCTTTTACCCTTTGACAACCTACAGATTGTGTATGTGCTGTATCTTGTAGGTCCCTCAGGTATTTTCGGTGTCTTCATAGTTCTACTGCTGTAGATTCATCACTATGGCTCTATTTACCTTACAGTGCACTGATTGTCCACCCACGCCAGAGCTCACTGAGGCATTGATTGCTTCCCCTCCAGGCCACAGAGGCCATGTCATACTCACCGGCGAAGAGCCTACCACATGGGCAGTGGCCATATGCTTCCATATGCTTTACATGATGAATACATATCAAGCATATAGCTACTGTAGCTTATAGCAAGACGCACCTGTATAGAAAGATCAAGGACTGTTGATGGAGAGGGCAAATAACGAACAATGTACAAGCTTTCAATCACATGGATGCTTTGTGTTATCATATTTGATGCTATACTATATCCTTGTACCTGGCCATGGTTGCAGCTACCCCAGAAATTCCTGTGGCAGATGCTTTATTGCTAACATAAGTCATTCACAGTTAAATTCAGATGAACTCAATTCAATCAACTTTTTTACAACAATATTTCTATGGAGCACTTACACACATGGTAACATGTGTGAGACCCATTGCAAGCCAAGGGTGTGGAGAATTCCATTAAGTTATTAAGTTGAACAACTTACTGAACCATATAACCGATAACTCATTAGAAGAACACAACAATCCCCAAGGCTATCTTCCTGCCACCTCAGCCACTCTTGTCTGTCCGCCCATTACGTTTCAACGATCTGCCCCATAAGAGAGAGAGAGAGGAGAGAGAGATGAGAGAGAGAAGAGAGAGAGAGAGAGAGAGAGAGAGAGAATAGAGATAGAGAGAGAGAGAAGACTGAGGGAGAGGAGCGAGGAGTGAGTGGGGAGGGAGATGAGATAGGGAGAAAGAAGGGGGGAGAGAAGAGAGAAGAGATAGAGGAGAGATGAGTGAGGAGATAGCTGATTGACGAGAGCTAACTAGAAATTTTTGTAAGAGTAGCAGGAGGGAGAGTTAGGACGAGATATGATAGAGAAGAGTGAGAGTGCGAAGAGTGGCGAGAGGGAAGGAGAGAGGGGAGCGGAGGGAGAAGAAGGCAGGGAGCGAAGAGGACAGAGAGGGGAAAAAGAGAGAGAGAGAGAAGAGTAGAGAGAGAGAGAGGAATGGAGGGGAGGAGAAAATTATATTTTTCCCTCATCCTAATCTCATTTCAACTGAATCTCTTGGGTCTGGGCAAAAACGAGGCAACCTAAATCACTGCCTCTCAAGGTTTTCTATTCTCCTACTGTACAAGCCCCAAAGATAGCTGTGTATCAGACCACTGCTCCCTCAGCCAAGGTCTCTGTCTTCTTTTGTGAATAAAAGGCATGAACAAAAGCACCCACTGAAGTGTCTGAGGTTACATTTGGCCTGAGGGAACTGTAAATCCACAAAAGATTGCCCTGAACAGAGAGAGAGAGAGAGAGAGAGAGAGAGAGAGAGAGAGAGAGAGAGAGAGAGAGAGAGAGAGAGAGAGAGAGAGAGCGATAAACAGAGAGAGTCAAACAGACAGAGAGAGATGGGCTAAATGGTGATTATGATTTTGGTATGGGTACTTTAATGGTGGAAGATCTGCTGCTGATTCATGTCTTCCTTGAAGTCATGTCACTTATAGTCCAGTAATGTTAGTCAGTGTCCCATCAGTCAGTACCAGAATATTGCCTTAGCTATTTCAGAGATATATACATGTGTACAGTATATACGCTGAGTGTACAAACCATTATGAACACCTTCCTAATATTGAGTTGCATCCCCTTTTGTCCTCAGAACATCCTCAATTTGTCGGGGCATGAACTCTACAAGGTGTCGAAAGCGTTCCACAGGGATGCTGGCCCATGTTGACTCCTATGCTTCCCACAGTTGTGTCAAGTTGCCTTGATGTCCTTTGGGAGGTTGACCATTCTTGATACATATGGAAAACTGTTGAGCATGAAAAACCCAGCACCATAAGCACAAACACTTTATTTATATCACATTTTGTGCACAAATTTGTTTACATCCTTGTTAGTGAGCATTTCTCCTTTGCCAAGATAATCCATCCACCTGACAGGTGTAGCATATCAAGAAGCTGATTAAAAAGCATGATCATTACACAGGTGCACTTTGAGCTGGGGACAATGAAAGGCCACTCTAAAATGTGCAGTTTTGTCACAGATGTCTCAAGTTTTGAGGGAGCGTGCAAATGGCATGCTGACTGCTGGAATGTCCACCAGAGCAGTTGCCAGAGAATAGAATGTTAATTTCTCACAACCACAGACCACGTGTAACCACGCCAGCCCAGGACCTCCACATCCGGCTTCTTCACCTGCGGGATCGTCTGTGACGAGCCACCTGGACAGCTGATGAAACTGTTGGTTTGCACAACAAAATACTTTTTGCACAAACTGTCAGAAACCATCTCAGGGAAGCTCATCTGCATGCTCGTCATCCTCACCAGGGTCTTGACCTGACTGCAGTTCGGCGTCGTGTCCGACTGCAGTGGGCATATGCTCACCTTCGATGGCCACTGGCACGCTGGAGAAATGTGCTCTTCACGGATGAATCCCGGTTTCAACTGTACCGGGCAGATGGCAGCGGTTTGCTGATGTCAACGTTGTCAACAGAGTGCCCCATGGTGGCGGTGGGGTTATGGTATGGGCAGGCATAATCTACAGACAACGAACACAACTGCATTTTATCGATGGCTATTTGAATGCACAGAGATACCATGACGAGATCTTGAGGCCCATTGTCGTGCCATTCATCCGCCGCATCATCTCATGTTTTAGCATGATAATGCACGGCCCCATTTCACAAGGATCTGTACACAATTCCTGGAAGCTGACAATGTATATATATGTATGACCTGTTGAACCTGCCTGATTCAGAAATTAAGATGAGTGTTGTTAAGGAACATTACTGAGGACAAAATAATTGATCCACCATTAGTTTAGCAGTTGGTGTCCCATCTATGATCTATTATCTATATTAGAATATTGCCTTAGCTATAAAACTTTAGTATATTTGAAATACTGCAGTGTGTTAAGGAATATTACTGAGGTCAAAATAACAGACCCATCATTATTTACACTGGCAAACTGTATATCAGCTGCCAAACCGTTTATCAGCTGCCAAACCGTTTATCAGCTTTAGGAGGCTGAAACTGCACTTAGGCAGTAGGCTGGCTGTGTGCCTGTGCTCCTATATAAATAATCAAAAATGAATTATTGGCGCCAAGAGAATGTTGTCCTTGATGCAGCCAATGATACATTAATGTATGTTTTCACTTACAGCCGTTGAAAATTAGCTGGCTGGCTAAATCTGGCACATTTACAGAAATGTTGACTAATGTTCATTGTCCCTTTCAGATAAACCAAAACTATTATGATGACAAGGATATGATGAGGATAAGGATGATGATGATAAAGATTATGATTTTATTCCTTTCTTCCTCCTAGGATGTCGGATGACAGGATATCAGGCAACTGGTCTCTTTCTTCGGCGACACCAATGTTCCCACCAGTGAACTCCTCCTTTAACACCTCCCTCCCTCCGTCGTTCACGGACTGGGAGGCTCCTACCTTCACCGCCGCTGCCCGCGTCCGCGTGGCCGCCACCATGGTCCTCTTCGTGTTCGCTGCGTTCTCCAACCTCTCGGTGCTGATCAGCGTGGCACGGGGCCGCGGGCGCCGCCTGGCCGCCCATCTCCGGCCACTCATTGCCAGCCTGGCCTCTGCAGACCTGGTGATGACGTTTGTGGTGATGCCGCTGGACGCGGCGTGGAACGTCACCGTACAGTGGTACGCCGGTGATGCCATGTGCAAGCTGCTGTGCTTCCTCAAGCTGTTTGCCATGCACTCGTCTGCCTTCATCCTGGTGGTGGTCAGCCTGGACCGCTACCATGCTATTCTGCACCCGCTGGACGCACTGGACGCCGGACGCAGGAACAAGAGGATGCTGCTGGTTGCCTGGGGCCTCAGCTTGCTCCTGGCCTCCCCACAGGTGGGTGTACATACGGTAGCCTCTACATTGTTCTCAGACTACAACATAACAACATGGATATTCAATTAGTAAGCCTTGTATTTCTCTTTTATGTTAGGAAGATAGTGGTCCACTTGAGATTGCTGATCCACTATCTTAGTAGCGTGTTATCCACACTGAATATCACTCCATTTCACTATGGTTTCAGTTCACTGAATCACCTTGCGCACGCATTCAATTAATCATTTGCACCTATGTCTGTAATGTTTATGCATAACGAATCAGTCGATGACTGGATCACCATCCACGAATCAGAAGACAAAATATTTTGTTGTGCAACATTTGTCCACGTGGGTTTTAGGCTGAACAGTCCCATAGTTTCTTAGAGGACTACTCTCTAGCCGTCCAAGTGCCCTTCTACTGGAAAAGGTCCACACTGAATCAGTGTATTGGAGCAATAGTGAAATGGAGCGCTATTCCATTTGGATTCCAGGCTAGTAAGATTGCAGGCCAGCAATCAATTTTAAGTTGGTCACTGTCTTCCTCACACAATAGAGCATATATACAGTCAGTGATCTGCCAATCAAATGAAGTCCTATGGGTAGGTGGGTGGTGCATTGTGAGGAAATAATCTCTCAGCAAAATAGAGAGCATTCCCAAGGTTGGTGTATTCAACTGTAATTCTATAGGGCATGCACACCAGCTCTTGATTGATGGCTGTAGTAATGTGAGTTGAATGGCTTAGAAGTGGAAGCAGCTTAAGCAGTTGTCAGCTTGGTAACAAAGTGTTGCTATGATCAAATCAAATGATCAAATTGGCTCAGGAGGTCAACTGCATATTAATGTTGACCTCCTGAGTGTCCCACCTCAATCCAAACAGTAGTGCTGTGAATGATATAAGCCTTTGCCCACCCTGACAAGTAGGGAGAGAGAGATTGTGTTCACTCAAATGTATATACTGTATATCCAATAATATGATATGTATTGTCAATTGGTCTTTAGAAACAAAGCATGTGGATTTATGCAATTTTACTCATATTCAAACCATTTATTTTGTAATATTTTTGTATTTACATGTATTTTATGCCAATAAGCACGTAATTTGAATTGAATTAAGAAATGGGGGAGTAGATTTCATTCCATGCTCACAGATCAATTTGTAGTCAAAAGTACAGTACTTTGGACGCTCCATCAATTCCAGTTCAAAGTTGAAGGTCCCATTACGCTGCACTGAGAGAAAATAGCTTTCCTTCCAGCATGGCTAGATTTCTGAGTGTTCCCTCCTTGTTTTTACTGTTACAGAGAGAGAGAGCGAGAGAGAGAGAGAGGGGGAGAGAGAGAGAGAGGGAGAGAGAGTTTTCCACAAATGCAATCCCCTTAATGTCAGAGTCTCGGAGAGGTGACATTTCTGGCTGTAAGTGGATGCGACCTTGGAGGTGCTAGTCAGTGACTGGTGTTCCAAATTAATAGGAAGAAGGGAAAAACACAACACTTCTGCTGTAGGAAGAGGGACAGAGGGAGAGACACAAGGTGGGGGAGCCAGTCGACTGTGGAGAAGGGAGAGAGATGTTAGACATCTCAAAGACAGGAGTTTGGGTGGTGAGTTGTGGAGAGATCAATATGCCCCCCTTCCCAACCACACACACACACGCACATGCTTGACATGGATGGTCATTCTACAGGAAATGTTCCTGGTTAGGCAATTAAGGCAACCCATCTTATGGTGACTAAACACAGCACTGGTGACTATCTAATTTACTACGCACCCACGCAAGCATGCAGGCACACACACTTTACATTATGATAATCAAGTAGATATGTGCCGACAGAAGCCATCTCATTTTGAGTGTTTCCTTGTTCATGCTTACTAATTGACCAATGTCTTTCAAGGATTGGTGGAGATGGCAAGGGGTTAAAGTAATTCAGCACAAAACATGGATGAATTCGTCTTTTTTTCACCCAACTTTTAACCTTAATCCAATGACATGGTGAATTATTTAGTTGATTTCACGTTGAATTCATGTTAGTCGACGACTCTACCAAATGTAAATCCAAAGTAGACGTTGAAATGACATCTGTGCCCAGTGGGAGGTGACTGCAGGCCGATTTTATTAGCACTTCAGTACAGCAGAACGATGGCAAACACCCTCATCAAAAACAGTGCCAAAAATACAATAGTGAAGTGAAGCTATACCAGTTGGCAAAACTGGTTGCAGTGACGTTATTCCGTCGTCTTCTGTGATGTCATGGGTGTATACTATTTTTAAACGAGTCCAGAAAGAAGCTATTATCATCTGGTTCCCTGTGTCATTGTGTGTGTGTGTAATTATAGGAGATACAGTGGGGGAAAAAAGTATTTAGTCAGCCACCAATTGTGCAAGTTCTCCCACTTAAAAAGATGAGAGAGGCCTGTAATTTTCATCATAGGTACACGTCAACTGTGACAGACAAAATGAGAAAAAAAAATCCAGAAAATCCCATTGTAGGATTTTTTATGAATTTATTTGCAAATTATGGTGGAAAATAAGTATTTGGTCAATAACAAAAGTTTCTCAATAGTTTGTTATATACCCTTTGTTGGCAATGACACAGGTCAAACGTTTTCTGTAAGTCTTCACAAGGTTTTCACACACTGTTGCTGGTATTTTGGCCCATTCCTCCATGCAGATCTCCTCTAGAGCAGTGATGTTTTGGGGCTGTCGCTGGGCAACACGGACTTTCAACTCCCTCCAAAGATTTTCTATGGGGTTGAGATCTGGAGACTGGCTAGGCCACTCCAGGACCTTGAAATGCTTCTTACGAAGCCACTCCTTCGTTGCCCGGGCGGTGTGTTTGGGATCATTGTCATGCTGAAAGACCCAGCCACGTTTCATCTTCCATGCCCTTGCTGATGGAAGGAGGTTTTCACTCAAAATCTCACGATACATGGCCCCATTCATTCTTTCCTTTACACGGATCAGTCGTCCTGGTCCCTTTGCAGAAAAACAGCCCCAAAGCATGATGTTTCCACCCCCATGCTTCACAGTGGGTATGGTGTTCTTTGGATGCAACTCAGCATTCTTTGTCCTCCAAACACGACGAGTTGAGTTTTTACCAAAAAGTTATATTTTGGTTTCATCTGACCATATGACATTCTCCCAATCCTCTTCTGGATCATCCAAATGCACTCTAGCAAACTGAAGACGGGCCTGGACATGTACTGGCTTAAGCAGGGGGACACGTCTGGCACTGCAGGATTTGAGTCCCTGGCGGCATAGTGTGTTACTGATGGTAGGCTTTGTTACTTTGGTCCCAGCTCTCTGCAGGTCATTCACTAGGTCCCCCCGTGTGGTTCTGGGATTTTTGCTCACCGTTCTTGTGATCATTTTGACCCCACGGGGTGAGATCTTGCGTGGAGCCCCAGATCGAGGGAGAATATCAGTGGTCTTGTATGTCTTCCATTTCCTAATAATTGCTCCCACAGTTGATTTCTTCAAACCAAGCTGTTTACCTATTGCAGATTCAGTCTTCCCAGCCTGGTGCAGGTCTACAATTTTGTTTCTGGTGTCCTTTGACAGCTCTTTGGTCTTGGCCATAGTGGAGTTTGGAGTGTGACTGTTTGAGGTTGTGGACAGGTGTCTTATATACTGATAACAAGTTCAAACAGGTGCCATTAATACAGGTAACGAGTGGAGGACAGAGGAGCCTCTTAAAGAAGAAGTTACAGGTCTGTGAGAGCCAGAAATCTTGCTTGTTTGTAGGTGACCAAATACTTATTTTCCACCATAATTTGCAAATAAATTCATTAAAAATCCTACAATGTGATTTTCTGGAAAATAAATTCTCAGTTTGTCTGTCATAGTTGACGTGTACCTATGATGAAAATTACAGGCCTCTCTCATCTTTTTAATTGGGAGAACTTGCACAATTGGTGGCTGACTAAATACTTTTTTCCCCACTGTACGTGTGTCTGATAGCGGTGTCTGCATAGCTGACAAAGCCAGAGAAAAGACGCTGATTAACATTGATGTGTGTGTGTGTGTACTAGAGCTGGAGGAAGTGGAAAACGGCTAGTAAGAAGAAGCGGAGTGTATGACAGTCTGTCATGAATTGAATGAATTACTGAGAGTGCGAGAGTTTGCATTAATAGGAAGTTATCATGAAGCAAAAGGAAAAAATACAGTTTAAAAGATACATTTCCTCCATTCCCAATATCTAGGACCAGTCCTTACAGCAGCCTATTTAGTTGGTGTGGAGCACCAACTGTTGAGACACAGTCAGTTGATCAGGTGCAAAAATAGGTGGTATTTATTTACAGTGCAGGTAATTGAGAAGAGTGGATCCAGAAAAATTATCAAAAATTTGCTGACAAAAATATATATGCCAATACTTAACTGGAAACGTCTAGGAGCAACAACGGCTCAGCCGCGAAGTGGTAGGCCACACAAGCTCACAGAACGGGACCACCGAGTGCTGAAGTGCGAGGCGCGTAAAAATTGTCTGTCCTCAGTTGCAACACTCACTACCGAGTTCCAAACTGCCTCTGGAAGCAACGTCAGCACAATAACTGTTCGTCGGGAGCTTCATGAAATTGGTTTCCATGGCCGAGCAGCCACACAGAAGCCTAAGATTACCATGCGCAATGCCAAGCGTCGGCTGGAGTGGTGTAAAGCTCGCCACCATTGGACTCTGGAGCAGTGGAAACGCGTGAGTGATGAATCACGCTTCACCATCTGGCAGTCCGATGGACAAATCTGTCTTTGGCGGATGCCAAGAGAACGCAACCTGCCCCAATGCATAGTGCCAACAGTAAAGTTTGGTGGAGGTGGAATAATGGTCTGGGGCTGTTTTTCATGGTTCGGGCTATGCCCCTTAGCTCCAGTGAAAGGAAATCTTAACGCTACAGCATACAATGACATTCTAGACAATTCTGTGCTTCCAACTTTGTGGCAACAGTTTGGGGAAGGCCCTTTCCTGTTTCAGCATCACAGTGCCCCCATGCACAAAGAGAGGTCCATACCCCATCGAACACTTTTGGGATGAATTTGAACACTGGCTGCAAGCCAGACCTAATCGCCCAACATTACATTGTTTTTTACATTTTTGTCATTTAGCAGACGCTCTTATCCAGAGCAACTTACAGTTAGTGAGTGCATACATTTTCATACTGGCCCCCCATGGGAATCGAACCCACAACCCTGGCATTGCAAGCGCCATCCTCTACCAACTGAGCTACAAGGGGCCCAACATCAGTGCCCGACCTCACTAATGCTCATGTGGCTGAATGGAAGCAAGTCCCCTCAGCAATGTTCCAACATCTAGTGGAAAGCCTTCCCAGAAGAGTGGAGGCTGTTATAGCAGCAAAGGGGGGACCAACTCCATATTATTGCCCATGATTTTGAAATGTGGCGTTCAACGAGCAGGTGTCCACATACTTTTGGTCATGTGGTGTATTATAACACTTCTATATCATATCGCCTCTGGTGCAGAGACTGTATTGAGAGGAATCATCATTCTAACAAATTAGAATAGATTGTTTTTTTAATAGATTTCTGATTAGGTCATTAAAAGGCTGCTGCATGTGTCAAAGTGTCTTTCCTATGTAATTATACTTTTCTTCACTCCACTGATGTATGTCTGAACTGATCAAAAATATAAACGCAATATGCAACAATTTCAAAAATGTTACTGAGTTACAGTTCATATAAGGAAATCAGTTAATTGAAATTAATTAGGCCCTATTCTATGGATTTCACATGACAGCCATGGGGGATCCAGGCCCAGCCAATCAGAATGAGTTTTTCCCCACAAAAGGGCTTTATTACAGACAGAAATACTCCTCAGCATAAGCTTTTTGTACATATTGAAAATTTCGGGGATCTTTAATTTCAGCTCATGAAACATGGGACCAACCCTTTACATGTTGTCACGCCCTGGCTCTGGGGACACTGTTATGTTGAGCCAGGGTGTGTAATTCTATGTTTGTATTTCTATGTTGGCCTGAGTGACTCCCAATCAGAGGCAACGAGTGTCAGCTGGTTGTCTCTGATTGGGAGCCATATTTAACTGTCTGTCTTTCACTTTGTGTTTGTGGTTTCTTGTTCTTATTTGGTTTGTGTTCAACCGTAGACATCACGTTTTCGTCTGTTGTTTTGATCGTGTGATCATTCTAATAAATATAATGTTCGCATTCAACGCTGCGCCTTGGTCTCTCCCTGACGATCGTGACAGAAGAAACCACCAAAACCGGACCAAGCAGCGTGTCCAGGAGCCATCGCTAGCAGATCTCCGTGGCAACCTCGACTGGGTCAAGCCTAGTGAGGAGCAGAGAGGGTGGACTTGGGAACAGTTGAGGAAGAGCTTCGACTGGGTCAAGCCCATTGAGGAGCTGAATAGCGGGAGTTGGAGACAGAAGAGCGAGAGTTGGGCGAGAACGATAGAGGCCTGGCCCACGGGGAGGAGAGACCCCCATAAAAATTTTAGGGGGGGGCTCACGACATCGGGGCAGCAGGAGGCCGCGATAGAGCGGTCCAGCGGGTTGGCAGAGGAGGCCGCCAGGTTACGGGGGCCACTGGTCGAAGAGGGGATGGAAGGTGGAGAGGCACGGCGAGAGGTACTGGGGTGTGTTACCAGTCCGGTCCGGCCCGTTCCAGATCCCGAGGTAGGGCCAGTGGTGTGTGTCCCCAGTACGGTCCGGTCTGTTCCTGCTCCCCGCACCAAGTCAGTGGTGCGCTTCGTCAGCCCGGCTCGGCCCGTTCCTGCTCCCCGCACCAAGTCAGTGGGGCGCTTCGTCAGCCCGGCTCGGTCCGTTCCTGCTCCCCGCACCAAGTCAGTGGTGCGCTTCGTCAGCGCGGCTCGGCCCATTCCTGCTCCCCGCACCAAGTCTGTGGTGCGTTTCGTCAGCCCTGTCCGGCCCGTTCCTGCTCTCCGCACCAAGTCTGTGGTGCGCGTCGCCAGCCCAGTCCGGCCCATTCCTGCTCCCCGCACCAAGTCTGTGGTGCGTTTCGTCAGCCCGGCTCGGCCCGTTCCTGCTCCCCGCACCAAGTCTACGGTGCGTGTCGCCAGCTCGGCCCGGCCTGCTCCCCGCACCAAGTCTGTGGGCCGTTTCGTCAGCCCTGTCCGGCCCACTCCTGCTCCCCACACCAAGCCAGTGGTGTGCGTCGTCAGTCCAGCACGGCCCGTGCCTGTTCCCCACACCAAGCCAGTGGTGTGCGTCGTCGGTCCGGCACGGCCCGTGCCTGTTCCACTGGTGCCTGGTCCGGCACCGGTCAGATGCGTCACGCCGGAGCTAGAGCAATCCGCTCCATCAGTGTGCAGTCCAGCTCCGGCCAGCGGGGCCAGACCGGACCAGGGGTACTTTGGGGGTTTGGAGAGGGAGTGGGGATCAGGCCCGGAGCCGGATCCGCCGCCAAGGCGGAGTGCCCACCCGGTCCCTCCCCTGTGGTATTTAGTTGGCGCGGTCGGAGTCCACGCCTTTAGGGGGGGGTACTGTCACGCCCTGGCTCTGGGGACACTGTTATGTTGAGCCAGGGTGTGTAATTATATGTTTGTATTTCTATGTTGGCCTGAGTGACTCCCAATCAGAGGCAACGAGTGTCAGCTGGTTGTCTCTGATTGGGAGCCATATTTAACTGTCTGTCTTTCACTTTGTGTTTGTGGTTTCTTGTTCTTATTTGGTTTGTGTTCAACCGTAGACATCACGTTTTCGTCTGTTGTTTTGATCGTGTGATCATTCTAATAAATATAATGTTCGCATTCAACGCTGCGCCTTGGTCTCTCCCTGACGATCGTGACACATGTTGCGTTTATATTTTTGTTCAGTATATGTACAGTAACTCTGTACTTATTAACACAACATTGCCCTCATAACTGAGCAATCCATTTACCACACTCAGTTAACTAACTGGGAAAAACTAGGAGACCAAGCTAACATGGTATTTTATTTCTGATGGGCACTACATATCCTCTACCCAGTACAGCCAGAGAATGGGCCCCACCCTCTGAGGGCTCAATTCAATCCGTATTTCAGAAGTTCAGCGCTACAGCGCAATTGGAATTTAAAGGTAATTTCTGATTGAGCCGGCATATGCAGCGTTTACCGTTAATGCAGTCTCTAAGGATGCAGGAACATTGCCTTTAAATTTCAATCACGCGATACAGATTGAATCGAGCCCTGACTCTCATTTGTCTCCAGGTTTCTTCCCTCTAGGGAGCTTTTCCTTGCCACTGTGCTTTTGTATGCGTTTTGCTGGTCCATAGGTCAGGTTTACTCTAAAGACCTTTGCGACAACTGTTGCTGTCAAAAGGCTTGAGATACATTTTATTGATTGATTGATTAATATACCTTTATCATGATTTCTCACTCCCCCTTTGTCTCTCTTTATCTCATAGCTGTTCATCTTTCGAGCAATCAAAGCAGAGGGAGTGGAATTCACTCAGTGTGTGACGCATGGAAGCTTCCACCATCGCTGGCAAGAGACGGCCTATAACATGTTTCACTTTGTCACGCTTTACGTGTTCCCCCTGTTAGTAATGAGCTTCTGCTACACCCACATCCTCATCGAGATCAGCCGTCAGATGCACAAAGCCAAAGGTGTGTGTCTGTGTGTGTGTGTATGTGTGTTTGTGTGTGTGTCTGTGTCTGTGTGTTAGTGTAAAAGGTGAAGAGACTCTGCACACTGCATTCTTTGTTCCCATGTGATATATTTGACTATTGAACGTTTCGACAACACATACTTGTCATATTTAGGGCACAATGTTATTACCAGGAAAATCTCATATTTTTGTACCTTTGTATATATTATCTCACTTTTTGTACATCTAATACAAATGAATCAATCAACCAGAGTCAGGTCCTGGTCAGGTCACGTGGTCAGGAAGACTCAGGGCATCACAACCTTCAATTTACAAAGTACCATTCCATATCTCCTCACAAACTGTGTATGTCTGTTATCACTCCAGGTGGGGAGCATTGCCTGAGGCGAAGTGGCACCGACATGATCCCCAAAGCGCGAATGAAGACCCTGAAGATGACCATCGTGATTGTGGTGTCCTTCGTGATCTGCTGGACGCCCTATTACCTCCTGGGCATCTGGTACTGGTTCCAGCCGGCCATGCTTCAGGAGACGCCCGAGTACGTCCACCACGCCCTTTTCGTTTTCGGCAACCTCAACACATGCTGCGACCCAGTGATCTACGGCTTCTTCACGCCCTCCTTCCGGGCTGACCTGGCTGATGTGGTCGCATGCTGCTGCCGCTGCCGATCGCCAAACATCTCCCCGAGGTCCCTGGACCGCCTGGCATGTCGGAGGGGTAGGGCAAGCGGAGAGGCAGAGTCTGACAATCCCAGTGGCAACCAGCCAAGTGGAAACCTGGGGTAGATATCGGTGGGCCACTTGTTCAACTGCATTGTAAAAAAAATAATAATAATAAAAGACAACCAGCTGCACTAGGATTGTGAGTTTGTTCAACAAAATAACATTGACGTTGATTCAACATACAATTGTACGGCAACCAGCTGCAATAGGATTGTGAGTTTGCTCAACATTTGGGCATACAGCTGAACCAACATACATTCTCAAGTTGAAAGTCGAGTGAATTGTCATTCGACTTTGAATTTTAGGTTGAGTAAACATACAATTTAACTTGTGAATATATTCTACCTTATTTGCATATTTCCCAGTGAAATGTTCATATTTCCCAGCCTTTCGAGTGAATTGTAGTTACCACCCATGACTGTATTTGTTAGCGACAGAAACATGGTTGTTGTGTTCAATGGTTTTCAGTACTGTAGCCTTCACCAAGTTAGTGTCTAAGTTAATATTTTATCTTTAAAATTAATCTCTTTACGACAATACATTACATAAATCTTAAGGCCTTTCTTTGAGGGCCTAGTTACACCCTAACACAGTAGTTTGAAACTCCTGGTTTACAGGCCACATCAAGCCTACAAGTCACATTATGCTGGCTTGCAAAGTGATGTGATTAAGCAATTGGTTAAGTTGTCTATTTACAGTGTGTGGGATACAGATTATTTTACTCCCTGAACTTTTTAGTGCCCATTTCCGAGACCCAGATTAAGGGCTCTATTCAATCTGTATCACTGAAGTTCAGCATTACAGTATGAAAATGTATGCACTCACTAACTGTAAGTCGCTCTGGATAAGAGCATCTGCTAAATGACTAAAATGTCAAATGTAATTGAAATTTAACGGCATGGTTCCCGCGTTAGCGGAGACTGCATTCACGGTAAACGCTACATATGTCAGCTCAATTAGAAATTACCTTTACATTTCTATTGCGCAATCTGTAACGCTTTAGCGATACAGATTGAATAGAGACCTACAACTACTTAACCAAACATGTGGACAATGGAGACTCCATTAAAAAAGCTTTTTGGTCTAGGTTTGGGCTTAATCTGGATCACTATTTCTTGTGTCACATTCAGCTACACAAAGCTTGGATAATGTAAGGAAGGATTCGAGAACATTACTCGTATTACTGAGTGGATTTTGCCAGTTCCACTATGAATGTAAAGACCTACAGTGTCTTACACAGAAGACTCAAACATTTCCTTTCAACCAGTCTCTGGGAAAATAACTAGTACCTTCGATTAATAGTCCATTGCAGTGAAGACCCTGGTTGCAGTACAGTAGATCATATTTACAGAACAGTATAGACTTCCTAGAAAACCGCTCAGCTTCTGACACTAATCAAACAACTCTTACGTACCCAAGGAAGATTATATTTATTATCAAATATTTGGACCACATACTTTGGGACTTTGGCCAGGGAGGACAGAACCTTGGGACATCTTTTGAATTTCTGTCCTCTGGATCATCTCACTGGAATTACTACAAGATGAACTAACTGGGCACACTTGAAATGCATTGCTTATGTCTCAGCAAGAACCAAACACAACCAAACATTACAACTAATAGCTGAGTAAGTCTGTCCACAGGCTTCTGGCTGCCCTGAACAAATGGTACTTTAACAAGACATAAAATGTGTTGTGATACAGTGTAGGCTTAGTGTAACTGTTTCTAATAAATGTTTACTGCTTTAGTCAAAGGGAAGACATTTACAATTTAGGTCTCCCTGGAGCCAGTGACGTTATCAGCTAGACCCAGAAAAACCAACTCCTGTGAGTAGGCAACTGGTCATAGTTTAATAAGGAACAAATGTACAGTGAGGGAAAAAGGTATTTGATCCCCTGCTGATTTTGTACGTTTGCCCACTGACAAAGACATGATCAGTCTATAATTTTAATGGTATGTTTATTTGAACAGTGAGAGACAGAATAACAACAACAAAATTCAGAAAAATGCATGTCAAAAAAGTTATAAATTGATTTGCATTTTAATGAGGGAAATAAGTATTTGACCCCTCTGCAAAACATGACTTAGTACTTGGTGGCAAAACCCTTGTTGGCAATCACAGAGGTCAGACGTTTCTTGTAGTTGGCCACCAGGTTTGCACACATCTCAGGAGGGATTTTGTCCCACTCCTCTTTGCAGATCTTCTCCAAGTCATTAAGGTTTCAAGGCTGATGTTTGGCAACTCGAACCTTCAGCTCCCTCCACAGATTTTCTATGGGATTATGGTCTGGAGACTGGCTAGGCCACTCCAGGACCATAATGTGCTTCTTCTTGAGCCACTCCTTTGTTGCCTTGGCCGTGTGTTTTGGGTCATTGTCATGCTGGAATAGCCATCCACGACCCATTTTCAATGCCCTGGCTGAGGGAAGGAGGTTCTCACCCAAGATTTGATGGTACATGGCCCTGTCCATCGTCCCTTTGATGCGGTGAAGTTGTCCTGTCCCCTTAGCAGAAAAACACCCCCAAAGCATAATGTTTCCACCTCCATGTTTGACGGTGGGGATGGTGTTCTTGGGATCATAGGCAGCATTCCTCCTCCTCCAAACACGGCGAGTTGAGTTGATGCCAAAGACCTCCATTTTGGTCTCATCTGACCACAACCCTTTCACCCAGTTCTCCTCTGAATCATTCAGATGTTCATTGGCAAACTTCAGATGGGCATGTACTGTATATGTGCTTTCTTGAGCAGGGGGACCTTGCGGGCGCTGCAGGATTTCAGTCCTTCACGGCGTAGTGTGTTGCCAATTGTTTTCTTGGTGACTATGGTCCCAGCTGCCTTGAGATCATTGACAAGATCCTCCCGTGTAGTTCTGGGCTGATGGAGCCCCAGGCCAAGGGAGATTGACAGTTCTTTTGTGTTTCTTCCATTTGCGAATAATCGCACCAACTGTTGTCACCTTCTCACTAAGCTGCTTGGCGATGGTCTTGTAGCCCATTCCAGCCTTGTGTAGGTCTACAATCTTGTCCCTGACATCCTTGGAGACCTCTTTGGTCTTGGCCATGGTGGAGAGTTTGGAATCTGATTGATTGATTGCTTCAGTAGACAGGTGTATTTTATACAGGTAACAAGCTGAGATTAGGAGCACTCCCTTTAAGAGTGTGCTCCTAATATCAGCTCGTTACCTGTATAAAAGACACCTGGGAGCCAGAAATATTTCTGATTGAGAGGGGATCAAATACTTTTTTCCCTCACTGTATGTACAAAGATTTGTGTTTTCTCAATGTCTTGTGTTGTACTCAGCCTAATCGTCTCTAATTACTCGTCTGAACTATTTAACTATTGTCATCATGCCATGCACGGCTAAAATGTTCCACTTTATTTTAGGCTGCGTTTAGACAGTCAGCACAATTCTGATATTTTATTCAATAATTGGTCTTTTGACCAATCACATAAGATCTGATGTGAAAAGATCTGATGTGATTGGTCAAAACACCAATTAGTGGAACAAATATCAGAATTGGACTGCCTATCTGAATGCAGTGTTAATGGTCCAGTATTAATTGTAATTGTAATTGCCTAGATCCAAACTGATATTAGTCTGTCATTCCTCTAATAGAAGGGTAATTGGACAATATAAAGAATAACCTTTCCAATCAGCGTCCTCTTAGAACCTACAGTGCCTTCAGAATGTAGACATACCCCTAGACTTATTCCACATTTTGTTGTGTTACGAAACTGAATTCAAAATTGATTCAATTGAGAGAAAAAACTCTCACCCATCTACACACAATACCCCATAATGACAAAGTGAAAACATGTTTTTAGAAAGGTTGGTAAATGTATTGAAAATGAAATACAGAAATATCTATTTTACATAAGTATTCACACCCCTGAGTCAATACATGTTAGAATCACCTTTGGCAGAGCCTGTGAGGCTTTCTGGGTAAATCTCTAAGAGTTTTGCAAACCTGGATTGTCAATTTGGATGTTGATCATTGCTAGACAGTAATTGAAGTCTTGCCATAGATTTTCAAGCCAATTTAAGTCAAAACTGTAACTAGACTACTCAGGAACATTCATTGTCATCTTGGTAAGCAACTCCAGTGTATATTTGGCCTTGTGTTTTAGGTTATTGTCCTGCTGAAAGGTGAATTTGTCTCCCAGTGTCCATTGGAAAGCAGACTGAACCAGGTTTTCCTCTAGGATTTTGCCTGTACTTAGCTCTATTCCGTTTATTTTTATCCCCAAAAACTCCCTAGTCCTTGCCGCTGACAAGCATACCCATAACATGATGCAGCCACCACCATGCTTGAAAATGTGAAGAGTGGTACTCAGTGATTAAGTTAATTTCTTTGCCCAATTTTTTGCAATTTTACTTTAGTGCCTTACTGCATACAGGATGCATGTTTTGGAATATTTGTATTCTGTACAGGCTTCCTTCTTTTCACTCTGTCATTTAGATTAGTATTGAGGAGTAACTATAATGTTATTGATCCATCCTTAGTTTTCTCCTATCACAACCATTAAACTCTGTAACGGTTTTAAAGTCACGGTTTGCCTGATGGTGAAATCCCTGAGCGGTTTCCTTCCTGTCTGGCAACTGAGTTAGGAAGGACGCCTGTATCTTTGTAGTGACTGGGTGTATTGATACACCATCCAAAGTGTAATTAATAACTTCACCATGCTCAAAGGGATATTCAATGTCTGCTTTAAAAAAAAAATATCTACCAATAGGTGCCCTTCTTTGTGAGGCATTGGAAAACCTCCCTGGTCTTTGTGGTTGAATCTGTTTGAAATTCACTGCTTGACTGAGGGACCTTAAAGATTATTAATTGTATGTGTGGGGTACAGAGATGAGGTAGTCATTCAAAAATCATGTTAAACACTATTATTGCACACAGTGAGTCCATGCAATTTATTATGTGACTTGCTAAGCTCCTGAACGTATTTAGGCTTGCCATAACAAACATTTCTAAAAACATAATTCAACTTTGACATTATGGGGTATTGTTTGTAGGCCAGTGACACACAATCCTAATTGAATCCATTTTAAATTCAG